GTGCGGCTCTTCGGCGGCGACGCCACACTGACGCACAAATGTTGTCTTTGCGCCTAATACTCAGGTGTGTGTATTTCTCTCTCTTTTACCATTTTTTTATAAATTTTTCCCTTTATTTTTGGGTTATAAATTTCAGATTTGTTGTTGTCTACATATGCATTCAGAGCTTCATTCCATGTAGGAGCGTGGCTTAGAGAAATTTGTTGGCCAATACTTTGAGAATTGTCGGAGACGACTGAAGATGACTGAGACGATTGAAGCAAAGATTCGACGATGTCAGGTGGCGCGGCAGCAGGCTGATGGTTCATCAGCGAGATGTCGGGGATAAATCTCACGGAGATTAGCAGATAGATCTACAATGGTTGCGTTTGTACAGAGACGCTGATGAGCGGTGGGCTGAGCCCCAATAGTTCACGAGCGGCGGTCGTCGGGCTAATGTAGGTACGTTCGTGGACGACAACAACAGTATCTCTGATGGAGTACTTATCAGGTATGTAAAATTTGCTAGAGAAAGCATAAGATGTCCTCTCCCACACTCATGTTTACTATTGCTACTCCAAATCCGATCTTTTTCTTTTCTTCCTCAGAGCAGCCGCAATTAAAACTACCGACGGCAGTTGTCTTGGCGGATAGAACCCGAATGACGGCGCAACTACACTTCGACGGGAGAAGCGGGCTTAAAGACGATTCAGGTATTTTTATTTAGAAAGAGAAAAAGAGAAAATTGATATTAGAACATGTTGGTTGCTTATTTATATAGTATATCACATTCCGTTATTCGTCTTGTTCTTTTTACTTTTCTTCTTCTTCTTCAAAGGTGATTTTTAAGGTTCGTCTGATTTTTGGCAGAATAGTCACATTGTACGGTGAAACGTAATCAGCAAGTCCACCCAGGGCTGAAACAACGTCTTGTACCCCATTCTCTTCGTTACAGAAAGCATCGCCCCTGTCAATCTACAAATGAGATCCGGATCGCACCCCAGACAACAACACTCGATAACCCAGCTAATGCTTATCTCAATGCCCAACATCGATGTTGAGTTGTCTTGGGATTAAGCAACCTCTTTTATCAGTATACTGGTTGGATTTAATTAGTTGTTTCTGCAATTTTGTTGGCATGTGTGCATAGTTTATTTTTTTGAACCGTTGATTGATTATATATTGTTCGGTTCTACAACTTTTTTAGTTTATAGACTGGACATTAGTCGTGATAAAGACGAGGGTTTAAGACAGATCACGATTATGAAGGATGTAGCTGTTTGAATGATATGAGGATTTCCATGTGGTCATGAAAAAAGAATGAACTTGATGTTGGCCTTATTTTTTCACATTGACTGGGTTGTGCTGTCCTTTTGCTTGGTTAATATATGTTAGCGGCTTATTTAGTTTATTTTAGGCATATGTCTATTGAGATTACCAAAATATTGCTTATAGCTTTACCAACACCTATTCTTCTCGGTGTTATAAAGGTGTAAAAGGTTTAGATGTTCTGCGGCCTATCAAGTTTTGAGCATCTAATGTGCAGAAATGTGTTAATTTGGTTTAGGTATTGTTCTGCAGCCTATCAAGTTTTTAATCATTTGATGTGCACTAATGTGTTTGGTTTGCACGAAAGTTGTGAATGTTCATTTACAAACTAACAGTCATTGAGTCACACATAAAAGATGCTGCAGCCACTGCTTCAAGAAAATTTAAGATTGAGATAATACCAGTTAAGACCAACGTGTAAACTATTTATGTTGAGAATTTTAATGTAACTCATTTTCTCTTCCCTTCGAGTTTATATTTTACTCTAAAATCGGTTTGGACTACATTTTTATGGTTTCAACATTATGCACCACGGGGATAACCCAAATCGAAAAGAGACAACACGTAAGGAATTTTATTTTCAACTCTCTGTTTTTCGTTCCTCTCAATTTCTGAGTTATGTTTCTAAATTTTTGATTTTGATAATTTTTGTTTTGTTCTTTTTATCCTGTGAAGTTTTATTTTATTGGTTTCTCACTTTTATGAGGATGAATTAAGGATGAATTAACAATTCATATGAGTAGACCTTTTTTTCTTGGGTCCTATTTCGGCATTGTTATTCAGGCTTTACATTTTTAGCCAGGCTAAAACTTAAGGCGATACAAGTCAGCCGGAATGATCCCATTGAGGTTGCTTCCATGTAAGTAGTTATCACTATGAAAATATAAATAGAGCACGTTATTAGTCTAAGACAATTAAAATTGTAATATGTACAAACCCACTTACATGTTTGTCAGATTTTTCAAGTTGCCCAAATACTTGGGGATGGATTAAACACAGTATAAGGTTGTCTCTGCAGAACACATTTGACTTTGGATGATGCCTATGTAAATACGTAACTATGAAATTTTGCAGTAATAAAATCTTTATGAGCCCGAGGAAGAGCCAAGGACAAGCAAAAAATAACCTATGATGGTGATGGTACGTTTGAATAAATATGAATTTGAAGATGTAAAGGGTAAAAGGTCACAACTACTCCATGGACACTATGCATAAATTGAAAAGATGCTTAAGTTTAGTATGCAATGCATAAGAGGCGCGCTTGAGATTTTCTTTAGGCACTTCAAATGATAGCAGCAAAAGTACTGGTGGCTGCTGCTTTAATAAGGATTGATGATGCTATTTAGTAGTCTTGATAATTTTATAGTGATGTTATGAAATTATTCATATAATTTTAGGTGTTCTGCGCAGCCGTTTATCGCAATATGGGGATGAGTGGTTTTCATCACCACCCTACCATGCGGTAGGTCTTCCCATTTACTGTTGAGGGATGTAATCCATTTAAACTTTGTCAAAATTTACTCAATAAACTTCATTTGTATCAAATTTAATAACAATGTTTATATATATATATATATGTATATATATATATATATATATTCTAATAATCATTTCAAGGGACGACAAATTTTGACTAGATTTGAGATTAAATTTGAGTCGGCGTGCACGAAATAACAGTAATATGAGAAAGGGTCCTCAGACATCAACTGAATATGCATATTATATAACAAATGCCACAAGGACAGAGCCTCGAAGAAGCTCATGTTAGAGGAGCTTGAAAATGAGTCGAATAAGTCAACCAGGCAGACCTTCGTTTCTTTGAATTTTCACTGCAATTAGTTGGTATATACAATTGCAAGTACTATATGTTCATGTCCCCTATCTCATTGCTACTACTTTTAGGAGCATGTGGAAAATTGTAAGGATAAATATAGCTAAATTTTTAATTTTGACTTGGTTATAGATTATTGCTACTACTTTTAGGAGCATGTGGAAAATTGTAAGGATAAATATAGCTAAATTTTTAATTTTGACTTGGTTATAGATTAATTGTAAAATTCAATTTTCAGCATAAAAGCATAAACAAACAATACACGTAAGACATAGAATGTTTATCAATCAATAGACAAAAGTGTAAACAGATAAATTTGACCACGATCAGTTTGGGAATACATGCACACATACGCGGATTTAAACAACCACACAACTCATAAACCACTTGCGAAAGTCAAGAGAACAAAATCTTAAAACATTTCCATTAAATAAAAAATACATCTCAATAAATCCAACATACGCTATAATAAAAGCTGCAATAACTTAGGACAATTTTCGGTTGTACTTTTACACGGGGTGTTAGACCGCCGTGCGTGCACGGCGTGAGCAAATCTAGTATCTCTCTTATCTATATACAAAGAAGTTAGTGGCCTTCAATAGGCGACACGTGTCCATTTTTGGCATGCTTATAAGTTGACAAGTGTCCCATTAAAATTACAGTTTTGCCATTGTGTTAATATTTGTATTAGGGGCTTTTTTTGCTGTTTAGACTGAAACGCCCTTCTGTATTCAACATTCTGGGGATCTTTGGGTCATTTTTCATGTCTTCTTTTTCTGTAGGTGTACCGATCTTTTGCGGGATTTGCTCCCCCCAAAATCTTATGCGTGTGTGGCTTCTCCTCTCTCTGCATTGATTTGATTTCCGGAGATTGGGGTTGACTCTGCCAAATTTGTGTTGATTCGTACATTTCCTTGTGTACGTTTGCATTTCTTAATTCTTAAAGAAGTTTCCTTCAAACCTATATAACTTTTCTTTCTCCCATTTTGCTCAGTCAACAAATCGCTTGAAAAAACCGATCTTCCCAAAGACGTGTCGATCGTGAAGTTCAGCCCCGGCGAAGATGGAGGATTCAATGTTTTCAAGCTCCAATGAAATCATCAGAGACACGCCGGTCGTGATGCTCGGCGGTGGCAGAGGAGCGGCGCACCTTTGGGGGTTTTTCTTCCGACAATTTCACACCTCACCAGCAATCAATCATTTTTTTTATCTGACTATTGGTATGCTATTTCCTAATAAGCTCTTGCAATTCCTCTTATCAATTTTTAAAAACATTCTCTTTTAGCATGAATAGTTTGATTTTGCGTTCTATTTTCCATTCACTTTTTTTTTTCTTCTATTAATTCATAGATTTAGATCCATATTTTTACTACTACTCAAAGATGATGATACAAAGAAGCTGAGTAAACTACGACTGCCGTGGTCTCCATAGTCTCTGTCACCCTTCAATATGGTTTATGCATTCTTATTTGGTGGGTTGGTTATGCATTCTTTTTTTTTTTTTTTTTTTTTTTTTTTTTTTCATTTTGCAGGTTGAATGTGAACTAGAGTATTTAATTGAATAAATTGGTACAAACCCAGGTATTAACGAGACGCATTCAGACAAGAATGGAAGGTGAAGCAACACCAGTTCCTTTCTATTATTATTACCTATTTCTTATTATTATCTTTCCCTTTTTTTAGAGGATGAGATTTGTTTGTGCAAATTTATATTCCTCGATTTTCAGTTGGTTAAGGTTATTTTATTGATTGTTTACTTGTCGTGTCCTAATTGTGGAGTTGCTTGTGTACATGTACGAGGATCATATTGAGAGTATGAGCTTTGAGGAGTTGGAGCAAGGAAAGATGCATTTTCTCTGACATGGTTATATATATCCTACATATGCTTATATATGTTAAACAAAAAAGTAGTTCCCAGCACTGTGATTATATCACAAGAAAACTTCTCTTATAAGCTCCTTTTTTCTCAAAAAATCTTATATACAACACAAATTTGGAAGTCCATCTGTAACTCCCTTTATTTCTCCCCAGGAAAACAACAATGGCGGCGAAGGATCTCAAGGTTGACGAACTTCGGGCTGAACTCCTAATCATATCAGATTTGAGCTTTCTAATAGCATAGTGGATGAAGGTGGAACAGATGGTGAAGTGGAGGCAATGAAGGCATATGAAGCCACCCATGATGAAAGTGAATATGGTGCTGAGATCTTTGAGCATAATGTCGGCTCTTCTGCTCTTATAGACAAGGTATGCGTTATGCTCTTTAGTTCATATGGATTTGTGTTGTCCGAACCATTGGCAAAGCCAAAGCCAAATAAGCCTCCCAAGTGTTCTGATCTGTGTTCTGAATATTTTGTTTTATTAGTTTGTTTATGGAAATTAGTGACTTCCCATTAATCGTTGGATAGGCTTGTGTGCCATGGAAATTAGTGACTTCCCATTCAATTCCCTATTTACTAAATTGCACGCTCAATAGGGGTGTTTTAAGTTATACAAATCCCAAAGAGATTTTTGTAGTTTTGATGAAAAAGGGAATGTTAACCTGAAGATAGATTTCATAATTAATCCTGGTAAGATCAAATATATACAAAATGAGGCGAACAGATAACGAGCCACTGCATCAAGTACTTCTACAACTATAAACCACATCTTGTTCATCATTAGCTTCTTGATTAAAAAAAAAGTCTCTTATTCTCTTATCATCTATTCCTTTCAAGAAACCAGATATCATCGGAGGGCGAACGCTTGAAGAACTTGAAATGCCGAACTTTGATACTCGTTGGGGAACACTCTTCTTTACATTATGAGGCCCTCCACATGACATCAAAGTTAGATAGGAGATTAAGCGCCTTGGTAGAGGTACATGAAATTGTTCCTAAGTAGTTCTACTGGCATATGCATTTATCCCAAGGACAAAAATAAAATAAAAAAATAAATAAAAAAAAATTACTATTTCAAGATTTTGCGTACTTACAAAATTCCTCGTAAACTTTCAATTTTCGCAATATAGCACAATATTTATTACATCGTCTAATTATTTCTAATATAGCTAGATTGGGCTAAACCTTTGAATTAATTTCTAATTAGTTGCACAGTAAAATTAATACTATTCCCGTGCATGGGCAGGTTCAAGCATGCATTTATCCTAAAGATAAAAAAATATCAACAGTAACTACTTAAAGATTTTGCTTAATTCCAAAAATGCTCATAAACTTTCAATTTCCTCAATATAACAGTCTTTATAATATTGTCTAATTATTTCTAATATAGCTAGATTGAGCTAATCCTGTGAATTAGTTTCCAATTATTTGCATAGCAAAAATTAATATTGTCTCCGTGCATGAGCAGGTTCAAGGATGCGTATCGTTGGTTACTGAAGAACAGCCGGATGCGATGTTGATACCATTGGAATATTTTCTCATGGGTTTCGGCTTCTACAGGCCGTCAAAATCCAGTGTCAGCCTGAGAAGCCCGTTGAGCCCGACTAGCATCTCACCCCAACTTTTTTCACCGGAAAGCATGGGGCTGAAGTTAAAGCCAATCAAAACAAGGATCCAGGAAGAAGTGTGACGTAGGAAAAAAAAAAAAATCAAAGGTAAGCTTTTCTTTGTATTATATGAAACTAAGGAGTTTATTTAGTATTTACACGTGATTGGTCCGATTTTTGGGAGAAATTTCATGTAATTAATATATGAAAGGGATAAATTTATTAGTTTGAATGGAGCAGAGGTGTTATTATAGATATGGAAAAGCTACACGGGGTGATATGAAAGTTTGTGGAGAATTAGGGATAAATCTCTGTATATCCTTTGGAATAATTTTTATTTGTGATAATGAAATAGTGATAGCCAGAAAAATAATAAATGGCGGGCGAAGAAACTGCATTTTTTTAGCTTACTTTGTTTGTTACATTTTTTTTTTTTTTAAGTTTTGATGATTATTTTCTGAAGATGAGTATCGTGTTTAGCAGAAAACGCTTGTTTGATACCTATACTTTTTATACATACATCACTTCAAATTTGAATATCGTACAACTAAGTTGGAGATGAATTGACTGATCAGTGTAAGTGATGAAAAATTTTTCACTTGAGTTGTCACATTTTAGCATATTATCAGTATTAATAAAAGGTGCGTATGTGTATTTTTACATCGGGTGTTAGACCGCCGTGCGTGCACGGCGTAAACCCATCTAGTATATATATATGAAGAAGTGTGTGTCTTTTAAATGGTGACAAGTGTCCATTTTGGTGCTCCTCTAAAATTGACAAGTGTCCCTTTTTTTTACATTTTTGCCATTGCACTATGCATTGCATTTGTGGAGAATGCTACCATCCCGTTACGGGATGGTTCCGTTGTGTTTTTAAGCGTTGGATTAACTACTCATCACTAGATTACATGTATATCTATGGCTAGAAAATACAACGGAACAATCCCGTAACGAGATGATAGCATTCTCCTGCATTTGTATGCCTTTTGTTTTTTTTTTTAATTGAACCTTTTGTTTTTGTTTTTTTTAATTGAAACCGACTTAAAAAGTCGCTGATCAAGACGACTCTTTTCCTACTTTTGCAGAATTCTCGCACGCACGCAATCAGCCTTTTCATTTACCCACCCCTTCTCTGTAACATCTCATTCTTTTCATTTTTCAAATTATTTCTTCTCTCCTGACTTTTTTGCTCTCTCCTCACTAGGCACCGCCTCTCCAAGATCCTCGCCCGAACAACCGCCGCCATGGCAGAGTCCTTGAGCTCCGTCGCGTTCGACCAATCAATTTCTACCATATTCACGTAATTCGCCACGAAATACAACAACCCCGTTTGCGTGAAAATCCTCGACCACCATTCCCCTGCAGCGGTCGATGATAACCCCGAGCGAGAAATCGGTGACCCTGGGGTTCGTATGGATGATGAGTTAGACTTGTTTTTGTTTTGC